GTTTCATATATATATATATATATATATATATATATATATATTCAAGCAGTTTTCGTGATCAAACAAGTAAAGAATATTTTAAAAAGTCAAAGCAAGTCCTTTCATTCCCAAATAAAGAATCAAACTTCCTCCAGCCAGTTGTTAACAATTGACCACTCTATCGATGGGCTGAAGGGACCAACGAGAAGTTCGTTTACATAAAATATATTTTAACAGATAATTTTCTTGTGTATAAACAAAGGAGGCCACGATTAAATTGAGAGAAAGAAAAGCATTTTCCACTCCACAATTGAAGACGAGGCTTGGTCCTGAGTCAACTCATGACAGAATTGAAGATTACAAACGCACAGATGTGCCCCGCATCTTTTCTTGCTCCCTAAGATATCACTATCAAACTCCAAGAGGGCTTCAAATTGGAGCTGATGTCCACGAGAGTGTTCCCCCTCATTTCATTGTCATGCTGTTTGAAAAGAATTCTTAAAGCAACGCCATCCTGCACGCGCCTACATGGGTAGAAAGAATTTAAGCTAACGAGGATGATTTCTACTTCTGGTCATGCAGTCTTGACACTGATGTTTACTGTGAAGAAATCGTCTGCGGGGGCCATGGCTTGTGCATTGCATCCGGCCTTGAACTGTAGGAGAGACAATAAATACTAAATTCTCCGTCAATTACATGTACGAAATAGAAATCAATTGCTGAGTTGAATTTTCCCCAAATCCATCCACCGGCTGTGTACGTTGCTCCGGCCCTTCTCCTCCACGCCATTTTCCAATAATAAAACGACAAAGAAAGAAAAAAAACAAAAAACTTCCACGAGAGAGACGAAAGTTGAGCTGCAGAACGTTCAGCCACCGAACCGATAGGATTCAAGTGGAGCCCAGCATTTCCAGCCGCATCAATCTGTTTCATCCCAGCCATCCCATTACATGTTGTATAGATTCTATGATCGAGTCATGTTTGTTAACAAATATCTTTTACCGTTCTTTTAAAATATTTTTAATATATATAATTAATATTAATAAAAATCTAAATGGTGCTGCCAAAACTCTCTACACACGTGCAATACTCATGATTGCAACAAATTGGAGAAAAATTAAATGAAATTTGTCCATAATTATAAAATTAAAAGATACAAGACAAAAGTTAAAAAAATACCTTAAATAATATAATAAATGATGATTTCACACATAAAGTTTTTCTTCTAACTTTTGTAACTTATACATATTCAATCCCTTAGTAATTTTCAATTTATTTTTGATAACTTTTGTAACTTTTACATATTCAATCCCTCGTAGTTTTCAATTTATTTTTGGTATAATTTTTTATATTTTTTCTTTTTGTGGCTGAGAGAAGAGATAGAGAAAGAGATTATTAGATTCCGACAATAAAAAAAAATATTGTTGATATTGATTCAAACTATTAAAATGATGGATATTTATATCAAATAATTTCATTTGATGAAAAATATTTAATTTAAGTGTTTTTTTTAACTTAAGAATGCCTAACCTAAAAAAATCGGAGTTGGAATTTTTTTTTAATTTGGGGTTGAATTTTGAATTTTTAGATGGTTTTTTATGCCATAAATAGATTTATCAAGATTAGCAAGGCAATGCAAGAGCAGCGAAGTCTACACGTAATATAAATTATATATAGAAATATAAACAAAAAGAATATCAAATTTTATACTCCAGGTGATTTAAAAAAAATAAAAAATAAAATTTTATATTGATAGCGAATGTTAGTTGAAATCTAGAATAAGTTAAGTAATACATTAATTGATTTTTTTTTCAAAAAAAAATATTGGGATGAATGATTCACCTCAGTTACATTTTTTTTTTAAATGAGCTTATGCTCGATCTTGTCCTTGCAAGTCTACATGTAAGCTATCCTAAATGAGCCAAATTCAATGACATCTTAGCTCTTTTATATATATATATATATATATATAAAACATAAAATACAAGTGTATTACTCACCTCTGGATTTTATTAAAAATGAGTTAAGGGATAATTGTTTGGGCCTGGATGCATTTATTCATGGATGTCGATTTCTTCTTTAGGCTTAAGGCCCAATATTAAAATATTAAAGAAGAAGAAGATATTTATAAGTGTTGGATAAATAGTATTTGATGATAGGAGCAAGGCAATGCAAGAGCAGCGAAGTCTTCACGTAATATAAATTATATACAGAAATATAAACAAAAAGTATATCAAATTTTATACTCCAAGTGATTTTAAAAAATAAAAAATAAGATTTTATATTGATAGCGGATGCTTTTTTAAAATATTTTTTATGTATAAAAATGATATTTAAAAAAATTTTTAATCTAAACCAAAGTAATCAAATTTTATACTCCAGGTGATTTAAAAAAAATAAAAAATAAAATTTTATATTGATAGCGAATGTTTTTTAAAGTTTTTTTTATTAAATATATTTAATTAATATTTTTTATTTTTTTTAAATTATTTTTAATATCAACACATCAAAATAATCAAAAATTAATAAAAATTATTAATTTTAAAAAATTTAAAATTAATTTTTTTATTTTTTTAAAAACATAAAATACAAGTGTATTACTCACCTCTGGATTTTATTAAAAATGAGTTAAGGGATAATTGTTTGGGCCTGGATGCATTTATTCATGGATGTCGATTTCTTCTTTAGGCTTAAGGCCCAATATTAAAATATTAAAGAAGAAGAAGATATTTATAAGTGTTGGATAAATAGTATTTGATGATAGGATATTAATTATTTTTTAAAATATTTTTTATGTATAAAAATGATATTTAAAAAAATAATTATTTTTAATATTAATATATCATAATAATAACAACAATATATTTTAGTTAATTTCTATTTGAAACACAATATTAAATAAAGAAAAAAATCTATTTAGTACCATGATTGCTTTTTAAAGATAATTTTTATTTGAAAATATATTAAAATAATATTTTTTTGATTTTTTAAAATTTATTTTAAACATTAATATATCAAAATAAGTTTAAAAAAATAAAACATAAAATACAAGTGTATTACTCACCCCTGGATAATTGTTTGGGCTTGGATGCATTCATTCATGGATGTTGATTTCTTCTTTAGGCTTAAGGCCCAATATTAAAGAAGAAGAAAATATTTACAAGTGTTGGATACATAATATTTGATGATAAAATATTAATTATTTTTTAAAATATTTTTTATATATAAAAATTATATTTTTTTAAAAAAATTATTTTTAATATTAATATATCATAATAATAATAACAATATATTTTAGTTAATTTCTATTTGAAATACAGTATTAAATAAAGAAAAAAATCTATTTAATATCATGATTGCTTTTTAAAATAATTTTTATTTAAAAATATATTAAAATAATATATTTTTTATTTTTTAAAATTTATTTTTAACATTAATATATCAAAATAATTTAAAAAAATAATTTAAAGCAAATAAGTAATTTTTTGAAAAATATTAAATGCTTTTGAACGTTATCCAAGTTGCCAGCTTCTTTCCCGCCACGTCTCCTATATAAACATTATGAATTCATTTCACAACTCTATCCACTCATAGTCTCATCTCATAGCCGATCTCTCTGTCTTGATACTTCATTTGAATTCAAAAATCAATTTCTCGCTTAACCGCCAAACCTAGGACTTCAATCAATCCAATTAGGCTCTCATCCGTCCTCTTCGAGACCTCAAAATCACTGGCACGATCAAATGAAGTTGAAGATCAACAAAGCGTGCGATCTCAGCTCCATTTCGGTCCTTCCTCCTCAATCAAGGTTCGATTTTACTATCACGACTCGCTTCTGTTGGATTCTTTTAAGATTCTCTAAAACCATAGAAACTGAGTTTCTGTTTTGACATGGTCTAGCTTAGCTTAGCTTTTCAGATTTTAAAAATTGAACAACAGAAACAGCGATGTGACTTTCTTTTCTTTTCTTAGATATTCCTCTGTTTTCGCGGTATCCAAACAGAAGGAATCAATTGTTTGATTTCATTTTCCAGCTCAATTGTTTTGCTCGTATTTAAAATGATCTGAAGGAGATTAGCTGCTTTTGATTTCTCTGTGAGATCTGTTTGGATGCTGAGAAAATGTAAACAGAGGAAATCCAAAAACAGCCTTAACTTCGCTAATCTCGTTCTTATTTTTATTTTTCTCACAGAGAGACTTCACTATTTTGCTTCTTCGCCTGTGTGTCTAGCCTTAATTTTATACCGATCTTAAAGTCCTAATCTGTCTGTTGCGAAGAAAAACTGGAGAAGATGAAAATATATGTTTATGTATTGTTAAGATTTTCATTATGTCAGTTAATTAAGTGATTTTTTAATAGGATATGAGAGAAGGTATTTAACAATGTTTTCATTGTATTGAAAAAAACAAATCAAATCTAACTAATTGTACTGCTTGTTCTTTTTTCTGATATAAAGGAGATCAAGTTGTATACCTGTTGGACCACAACAAGCATCACAGATTCGATCACAACAATCACAGCAGTCATTTTCACAGGGCTTTTCATCTCAGCATGGCATGTTTTCTCAGATCTCTCAGACTTCTCTTGATGAAGCTCTGACAAATGATCAGGTTGATTCTCATTTCTGATTTCTATTTTATTTGTGTTTATGGGAACATGGAGCATTAGAATAATACTAAATTAGAATTCTGTGAATTTTGTTAAATTGTTTTCTAGAAATCCAAATATTTGTTCCATTACATTTTATAGTTTTATCAGTGTTAACCTCAATTGAGTCGAGGTTCTTGGTTATGGAAATGGCTAAGGTGTGATTTTATATCATTTTATTTCCGAATCTGTTATGAGAGGAGATGAGCCTGAATTATGGAAGCTTTTGGATTTTGAAATTGTGAATCTCAAGGGAGATTTATGAGGTCAATCAAGCACATTTCTTACTGTTCTTCTGTTATCATGAAAACAATCGTAGTTTTACCATCATAGGTGATTAGCTGTCAAACTGGCGATCATTTCATTTCTGATAGATATGACAATTATAAGCTGTGAAGATCTCGTTCCTTTAGCTGTTTTGTTGTTCCATGCTAAATGACTATTTTTATACCTAGGCTTGACCTTGTCCTAAGGGTCCTTCCAGCTGTTATCCACTCATTTTGCAAAAACGTGACCTGCTGTGCCGGGAGAGGTACGCAGTCACTCGACCATAGGGAGAGGCTCTTATCTGAATGCATAGCATGTTTAGATTCGAGGGGTGAAAACCTCCTTCAAAGTGTGTGTTTTGCCTCTTTGGAAACTTCGTTTTCTGATTCCTTTCCTGGGAATGGTTGCCTGGTCTGAACCCCTTTCTAGCTCTTCTTTGCCAAACCTTCGATGGAATAGTGTCTCATGTAATGGCCTTGGACTGTGATGGCAATTGTCAGACAATGTTCTGTGAGTTACTTGTTTGTTGTATATAAAATACAATTGAATGTGTTCATCATTCCACTTTTTTTCCTTTGTTTTTTGTTCATTTGTTATACAGAGATTCAGTTCTCAGGAGCGAGAGAACTCTGTGAAGAAGCCATCTTGCTTACCAGTAATTAGCTATAGAAGTGAAGATGGTCAATTACCAATATCTAGATCGTCTTCCAATCTAATACGCAATTGGAGTGCTGCTCCTGTTCCAGATCATAAATGTAAGTTCCATATGGAGTGAAACAAACTATCAGAAAAGTCTAGTAATTCAACTCTCCCATTCAAGATCTATAAGCAGATCAATTAAGTTCATATTCTTGCATGCATGAATTCTTCATTATGTGGAGTACTAAATTCTTTATTTAACTAAGCAGGTCAGATAAATGAAGAACTTCATTACCGGATTGGAATGATGGAATCCTCCTTAACCAAGTTTGGAATGATCTTAGATTCTGTTCAGACCGATGTCATGCAAGTAAAGAAGGGAATAAAAGAAGTATCACTGGAGAGTGAGTAATATAAACTTTTAACATTTTGGAGATTAGGAGCTCGTGAGAAAACAATTTGGTGGAATCACGACTTAGGATTGTTGTGAAAACCAACTTGGATATCTAAATTGTTATATCTCCTTCCCTTTAAGTTGAATGGAGCTTGGTAATCTCTTGATTTGTTTGTCAAGTAACTTAAATTGATATATGTCCCGTAGGGGTATGCACTTGAATTTCAACTGATATAACCATCCTCATGTTGTTCTGTTTACTCTTGTCTTGTCAGCTAGGATTTGGATTAGAACTAAGATATTCAATCTCATTGCACTCAATGTCAAGGTTTTTTAATGTAATTTTTTAAAGTTGGTTTGTCTTCTCAATTTCGTTCAGTGGAAGGCATGCTACAGAAGTTGATTGTCCTTGACACCTCACTGAAGCTAACGGTAACACTGCAACAAACACTTATTTACAACTCTTTTGACTTTAAGCATTAGCAGCCCAATTTTTTGTGTCAATTCAGCACTTTTAAACATTTCCGAGATAATGTAAACCAGAATACGGGACAAGAAGATGTCAAATTCAGCCTTGAGGGGAGCCTGAAATCTTTATCAGAACAACTAAGCAAGGATATATATCGAGATAATTTGCAGCAGATATTCTTGGTGCTTTCTACCTTACCAAAGCAGATAGAAATTTTTCTGTACAAACTACAAAATGAGCTATGCACAACCTTCACCAAAGAAATTCAGGCACGTACAGTGTTGCAGCAGCAAAACTAGAACACCTGCAAGAATTCGGAATTTAATATAAAGCTGCATTCTATTTCTTTGCTCAATATCAATAATACTGAAAAGTCAAGTCTTCTTAAAAGTTTTTGATTATTTACTTATTTCCTGTTTTAAATACTCAATTATGCCTATCAGCCTTCGCTTGTTAATTCCTTTTCACTCCATGATTTCTATACATTTAGGCAATGGCTTGCAGCGTGAAGACCCCCCTCGACCAAAAAAGTCCATCAATCACTGTAGTTCTGCCAAAGGTCTTTACCTCTTTGAAGAAAATTCAGGGTATCTTCTTCGAGAAATTACCAATTGTGATAGTAATTTCTTAGAAAACCTTGTCTCTATTCAAATTTGCAGGTTACTGGGAATCATGTTGCTCCACCGAGAAGGACAGAGCCAGTAAAGAAGTATGCAAAGATCTAGTTTTCCTTTATCCAGCTTGGCTTCGTGCTCTCACTGATTCTGTATTGTTCTATGTTTGTTGATTCCAAGTGCCGCGCATAAAACATTTGAAACCATGAGTGCATCCATGTGTGCGAAAGAGTGAGAGAAAAGAAGCGCATGGCAGTTCCATACGATGTCGTTGGCATCCTTTGCTTGGATTTGATTAAATGCCTTGGTTTTTTAATTGTGTGTGTGTGTGTGTGTGTGTGTATCTTCTAGTTGATATATATTGGTTCCTTAGTTCTTAAACGTAATTTTAATACATTCCGTCAAAACTAAGAACTCTGAACGGTTTCTCTTGATTCCAGTCCAGCTTTGCCTCCAAAGGTTTCTGTGCATGCAAAAATAGTTCCAAAGATGGAAACAGGAGGTTGGAAGTCTGTAAAGGTGGAACAACGCTCATTTACACAAACGGCATCCCTCAGGGAGCAGAAACGCAACAAAGTTTATTCAGATCAACAGGTAGTTGTTAGTGTGCGTATTGTTTTGGTCTTCCCAGTATTGCAATTGAAACACGCTTTCTATTTCGGATTTGGTGTACATGCTGGCACTTCCTGGTTGATTGGCATGATAAAAATAGCTGAGCAAGTTCTATCACTTCAAAAATGGGGAAAAACATGAATGATGCGTTTCATGGAAAAATTTCTGCTTACTGATCCGAAGAAAATTTTCATCTAATATTCAAGGTCAATTTAAATTATTGATCCACGTTGCAGGAAAAACAAAGTAGAGTTATCATTGATTCAGATGAGGAGATCGAGGGAGGTTTTTCTTGCTTGATTGATGTTAAGGAAACAGGTACTCCATGCAAGAAAATTTTCAGGATTGATTTATACTTTTCGTTACTCTTTGCATTCATCATAGCTGCATATGATATATTTAAAACTTTAAAGCCTTTTAGAAGAAGTCTGGCGGTTGCTCACACACAGGCACCTTAGAACAGCTATTAGATCTGCTATCATTGCTCTAAATGTTACCTGTTTCCCTGTTCAAGGCATCAGAAACCCCATATTGGATGTGTCGAAGGAAGAGACTGCAAGAATTTTGAGAAAAGCTAGGAGGCAAAAGAGAAAATACTGTAATCCTATCATTATTAATTGAAGGTATACTTGCGCGTTTGTATTTGCTTTATTCCAAGCGCGCACACACTTCCAGTTGTTGCTGATCTTAATATTCATTGTTAATTAAAATCCTTGCTGTTCCTTTTAAGATATCTTCCGAATTGAAGTGTTGGAACTAGAATACAAAATGAACTTGCCTAAAAGGGAATGCAGAGTTCGTAGATTTCCTAAATGAATGGCTCCAAGCACGTGACTTTTATATTAGCGATGCGTCGTCAGACTCGGCTAGAATTATTTTTCATGAAGTAGGCAAGACACAAGGTCTCCAGTGCCGCTGTACTGCGGATAAATATTTTTGGTTAACGAGTCCAATAGTTATGATCTCTCATGTCCCGAAGAGTCAAAAGTTGCCTAGGAATTATTGCTGAAGACCCACCACCGCATAGCTGTTCCAGATCAGTCGTATTTACTACGATTACCATTGGTTCAGTTCATTTTTGCTTCTGTCTACCGTCTCTTAACAACCTTGTCGCCCGCGTGTTTTTATCAGTTGCATGTGCAGCATTAATCCGGAGAACAATAAAAATCCATACGCTTCCAATAAGTTGGCCAAGAAGGAAAGTAAAATAATGCAATTTGTAGGACTACGGATCAAGTTACATCATTGCAATCATACTTGAAAATGAATTAGTAACCAAATTGGAAGGGAGAAAAAAAGCGAACAGAGAAAGAAGAATAGAGGTTGGGAATTGGGATGCTGTGCTGCCGCGCATCTTCTTGTATATAGAATTGGGTCCGTCTACAATGGGTTTTGTGTGTTATTTCGTGGCTTGGCAATTCAATGTCCATGGACTAAAAAGCACAGGATGTTGCTAGATGCCTCTGTACGGCCTATGGCATTTATGAAAAGGTGAATACCTAAATGGGTCTGTAATGTTTCTCTCTCTCTCTCCGAATAAGCATATGAAAAGGTGAATACCTAAATGGGTCTATAATGTTACTCTCTCTCTCTCTCTCTCTTCGAATGAGTATGCCCCCTTTTTGTAGAGCAACGATTTTTGTTATTGGTTAATTTTTTTTGTTTTTTTGTAATAGTCTTGCTAGGAAGGGATCGGATGGAGTGGTCAATCATGTTGTTGATGGAGATTATCAAACCATGAGCACGGTACACAATGTCTTATCTAAATTCATATTATTTATTAATTTAATACTATAATATCTGTCTTAAAAAAACCTGCGCACTAGTTGCCGACACCGCAGTCCCTTTCACGGTCCTTTTATTATACTGTGAAGGCAGCGTCCCTGAATGGTCACCAGATACGATTCTTCAAAGGGCTGACTGCAAGGGCAGGTCCTGTGGAATAAAATAATGGGTGAGCATGCGTTGTATTTTGTTTCTAATTCTCAAAGGCTATTGCCAACTTGTCTTGTTAGGGAATCAAAACATTGGAAGATGTCTCTAGTCTTGCAAGTCTCTTTCTTTAATGATGATATCGATGTCGTGAGTGAGTGAGCATCTGGCAAAGCACCAAGCTGCTAACTATTATAGGATGGTAGATCTTCTGGGTGATTTCAAGTTCATCTTAAGATGTATGGGAAAAAAAAATCGTAACTAAAAATATATTTTTTTAAAAAATATTTTTCATCAACACTGTTACCAATCTTTTGACGTACAACACGAATAATATCAAGCTAAAAACAAATAAAAAACAATTTATCCAATACCCTTTAGAATCTTTCATCAAATCTCAGACAAAGATTACAAAAAAAAAAGAAATCTCACGTCGTTGGAACGGTAGAACAAGTTCAACATCACCTACAGTGTGATCATGCATGAAGGTTCCAACTTTATTTAATCATATTGAAGCTACTATTTAGAGATAACATTAAAGAAAGAAGCGGATGAAATGGCGAGTGAATCAAGAGGTAGGCATAAGAATGTTTTGGGGAAAAAATACTAAGAAAGAGGGTTAAATTCATTTTGTATCCTGTCTTTTATTTAAATATAGTATTGATAAAGAAAAAAATAATGTTTGTGGTTGTTAAGTGAATTGAAATCGGTAAGATTTGTGAGTTTCGTAAGAAACCAGCATTCTCAAGTTTTATCATATTTATTTCACTAAAAAATATGCCCTTTGTATTGATTTTAATTTTATTTCCATTTAAGTGTCAGTGCAATTTAATTTAAATTTCATATATTGCAACAAAATAACTTTCCTGCGTCGAGTAACATCACCCAGAAGATCTACCATATATAATTATGTTCCCTCTGCGTGTTTTGTTTGATGGTGAGTTGATACGAGGATAAGGAACCCAATTGTTTTTTTTTTGTCCTCTCTTTTATATATGTCACGAAGGAATTCAATTGTTGAATCACTGGAAGCGTCACGATTCCTCCAGCCCCCTAGCTTGGCCAGCTAATAATCATATATTTCGTCTCACAGATTTCATCACTTTCTCGAGTGTAATAAGAGCTTGTTTACAATATTTAGATATTATTTGGAGGCATTGAAACATTAACATCTAGATATTATTTGGAGGTGTGTGTGTGTGTGTATATATATATAAAACCCTTTCTTGGAATTGCTATTGAGACATTGGGTGTCCTGAAGAGGGGAGCATCCAGTGGCTAAAGGGTGTGGTTGGAGTGGGAAAAGCCAACATTCTTGCATGGGACAAAATCGATCCACCCACTTTGATTAAATAAAGAAGTTAACTTGCTCCTGTCCGTTGAGTGGCACCGGTGAGGTTTTATCTCCGAATCAGGTGGATGATTGGCCTAATCAAGCACCAAGCATCTTCTAGATAAACACTTCACCTTAAAATAGACTCCGAATCATTAGTATAAGAGATCTGTCCCTTCAGTATTATTAATGTCAGCCTTGGCCGTCCTGACAAATCGTGTAAGATAGACGACATCAACTGTTTATCCTTCTATGGCAGATCCATCGAGTGCACTTAAAACCTAGCTTAATGTTTATTATTTAAAAACAAAAAAATGTATCCAACGACCTAATAAATCCTTACCTGACACTTCCATCTCAACGACCTAGTGCCAGAATTTGGGGTAGGTTTTGTTTTATAGGAAAACAAGATAGCTTAAAATAAACCAAATGTATATAAAAATGTTGTTTGTGGTTCATGGGGTCAAAGATTATTATGGAAAAATTATTAATAATCTTGGATGATCAGAATTTCTTTATGTTCTTTATAGTTTCTCTCTTATTGAAATATTTATTAATAATTTTTTTAGATTTTTCAATATATATATATATTGTCTGCACATAAACCATGGTCATTTTCCATGCTAGTTAAATTATTCGCCACCAACACTTTTCATCTTGATCGAAAGGTACGGTAAAAGTTATTGGCACCCCTTCTCTTATTTTTATTATAATGATTTCATTTAGGTTTGTGTGTTTTTATATTTTAAAAAAATATTTATTATTTTTAAATTAATATTTTTTTTAAATTCTAAGATTATTTTGATATAATGATATTAAAAATATTTTTTTAAAAATAAAAAATATTATTTTAATACATCAAAAATATTTTAAAAAGTAATTATTACTGCATTTCTAAACATTTAAAAATATATTGTGTTGTGGGATCCTTCCTCTGTGCATCTGCATCCCCTTCCAGACCCTCCTCTGCGGATCGTTTCAATAATCTTGGGTATCTTTAAGGACAAGCGAGCTGCCATAGTAGCAGCATGCATAAACTTGATTAACTCTCAAGCTATACAAGCTTGATTACATGTTCATGCCTGTGGTCCACCTCTGTGGTGGCACCAACACCACCACTTTAATCCTCTCCCTTCAAGACAAAAACATCATCAATGGCTTGTGGAATATCCCATATATATCTTGATTCGAACTCAACTGGCAACTTTATTATTAGAAAATGGAGGAGTTAAGCTAAGTTATCTATATAGAAGGAATTTGAGTCGAAATATCTTCTTCTTCTTCGCTGTTGTGAAATCCCACCATTAAAACAAGCTTCATCGAAACATCAATGCAGAAGTGCATGGAGTGGCGAGACATCGATGGACATGGTGAAGAGGCAAGAGCTGCCTTTTGTCTCATATGGGCCTTCATTACAAAATATCACTGTTAGAGCTGGTGAGCTGTGGTCCCAGCTGATCTAATCTAGTAGGACCCTGTGCTGAACTGTGATTTTAAGCCCAACTGCTCCACTCGCGTTCTTTATGGACAGAAACTTTGGTATCCTTCGTGGCACTCTGGCATTCTTCCTCTGAGCCCAGGCAGCCGGTAACCGCCAGTACCTTCTTGTCCTGTTCAACAGTAAACTATGGGTGTCACACCTAATATAAACAGAAACCTTTTGGTGTGGTTGATGTAGTGTTTCTTTTTTCTTTTTTTTTTCAACTATCCGATTAGTAGGCCCGCGCTTCCTGGCTCAATTTCTTTCTAATATAAAACAACATTCAAGTAATATTTAAAAATAAAAATAATTAATATATAGATAAAGAATTGAAAATGATTCAAAAAAATAACAGAAATGAATCTAAGTTAATATTCAAAATCAATTATTCAAGTTGTAAGATTGAGATTAACTTCTAGAAGAAAAATATAAAAAAATCAAGAAGTAGAATTTCCAATCATAAAATATAGAAAAAACAAATAATACAAATAGCAATTAAAATAACAAAAATTAAATTTAATATCAAAATTAAATGAAAAATAATTATAAATTAAATTGAAAAGGAAAATAAATTGAGAGAGTGATAAAAAAAATACCAATTAAAAGAATAAAAATAAAAATTAAATAAAAAATTAAATGAAATAAAATATTAAGGGATAAAACTGAAAAAAAAATATAAAAAAATATAAAAATAATAATAATTAAAAGAATAAAGATCATTTTGATACAAAAATAAAATAAAATAAAATATTCATAGAAAAAAATTGAAAAAACATTAAAATCAATAAAAATAACTATTAAAATAAATGATATCAAAAATAAAATAAATATAAATTGCTAAATATAATTGAAATCCAGAAGATCAAGTGGAAATCCCTAAGTTAGAAAAAAAAAAATAGTCTGTCATGCATTGAATCGCTGTAAATACCACCACACGCGTCACCTCATCAACTACGCCATTATTGGATGCTTCATAAGGCATGACAATTGGATGTTTTGGTCACCGTAAGACGTTTGATGTGACGAGTGAATGGCAAAGGGGAAGCGCAAAGCATTAGTTAATAATTTTTTTAATAAAAAAAATACCTATATATATATATATAACATATTAAAAAGATGAAAACATCCTTCCAAACTAGGCTTATATTTTTTCTTTTAATTTCAAGGTTAAATTTATCTTAACTGTACTAAAAATATGAAAAAATAATAATAAAATTTTATTTTCAAGTTCAATATTTCCCGGCTTTTTAAGAGTATTAACATCGGTTTACCTTGTAAAAAAATGAAAAAGGATTAAAAGGTCCCCAGACAAATGGTCTGTATTTTTTTTACTTTAAAGGCACCAAAGTAAGTTGACTGTGCAAAACAAAACATCCAGACCAATTTACCCCAATCAAGCTGCTCATGACTTAAAAAAAAAAAAAAAGATTTCACCCTTCGTACCTAGATAACCGGCGTTTATAGAGAATGACAAAAAAAAAAAAAATTCAATCCGGAATGATTTGTGTTGGACTACACCGTATCCATATATATCTCTTTTAGGGTTTTTTTGTTTTTTTTAAGATATATATTTTAAGGAAAATTTTCGTGAAGTTGATCCTTGAGAAAGGAAGGCATGCTTCCAAACTAGAAGACTACAGAGGAAGGTATACTGTAGAATCAGTCTGGATTTCTTCACGCACTGGTGTAGATGATCAGGGGAGCACG